GCATCTGAGTCAGTTCTAATGAGGTGGATGAACCTAGAACCTATTATACAGAATGAAGTAAGTCAGAAAGAGAAAGATAAATATTATATTCTAATGCATATATATGGAATCCAGAAAAATGATACTGAAGAGTTTATTTACACGGCAACGATGGAGAAACAGACATAGAGAGCCGACTTATGGACATGGGGAGAGGGGAGAAAAGGGTGAGATGTATGGAGAGAGTAACATGGAAACTTACATTACCATATGTAAAATAGATAGCCAACAGGAATTTTCTGTATGGCTCAGGAAACTCAGAGGTTCTGTATTAACCTAGAGCGGTGGCATGGGGAGAGAGATGGGAGGGAGATTAAAAATGAAGAGGGTATATGTATACCTATGGGTGATTCATGTTGAGGTTTGACAGAAAACAGCAAAATTTTGTAAAGCAATTATCCTTCAATAAAAAAATAAATAAATTTTAAAAAATCTCAGTGTTTTTGTATATACAGACAAGCTTATTCTAAATGTATAGAAAAATCCAAAGAGTTGACTAAAGGCTAAAATAATTTTGAAATGGAATAAAGCAGAATTAACCAGACATTAAAACATTAAATGTCTACAGTAATCTATGCTCTTTGGTATTATCAGAAGGATTGATATGTAGGTTGGTGGAAGAGAGAAGAGAAATAAGATCATGGAATTCTATTTAGCAATAAAAAGGAATGAAATATTGATACATGCAGCAGATTACTTAGATCTCAAAATTAAAATGCTCAGTGTGTTCACTTGAGTCCAATATGCAAAGTTCACTCTCTAGCAATGAAAATAGATTCATGATTGCCAAGGGTTTGGTATGGTGGGTTGGAAGGTGATGGGTGTGACTATACACAAGGAACGCAAAATACTTTTGAGGTGATGAGCTATTTCTGTGTCTCCTAATATAGGAATATCCTGAATATTTATGTACACATGATAAAATTGCATAGAATCATAAGCAACACATTTCACCATGACAGTTTCCTGGTTTTGCTGTACTGTGTTTATGTAAGTGTAACCAGGGAGGGAAATGTTAAGGGTGCATGTACCTGGGACCTCAATGTACTATAGTGACAACTTTCTACTAATCCACAGTTTTCTCAAAATAAAAAACTAAGACAGATTTTCTTCTCACAAAATATTATTTTTTTCAATGCTTTAAAGAAAAGTTTTGAAGCTTTCTAATATTTAAAGAAAAAATTTTCCTCACTGAAGGGTAAATCTCAATCATATAAATATTTTTCTACTTCACGATCTATTGTGATTTATTACCCTCCAATCAAAGTTTGATATTATGAGTTAAGAATCAAAGTTCTACATTTGTGTTTGAATTAAGAAAAAAATTAATATTATTCTTACTCAATTTTACATATTTAAAGACTTCAGGGCAGGGGTGGTTACATCTTAAATATCAAGACCAGTTTCACAAAACAAGGCACCTGGACAAAAAAAATTACTGTTTTCTTTTTTTTTAATCTGAGTTGATACCCTAATTATTTAAAATGAACTGAGACTTGTATTGTGGCCAAGCATATTCATTTTGCATTTATAGAGTGTAGTGTTATATAATTACCAATTGGCCAAGGTGATTGGTAATGTTGTCCAGATAACCTTTGTCTCTATCTTTGTTTTATTTGTTTATTTTCTTTTGCCTAGTTGTTTTTTCAGACATTGAGAAAGGAGTTTTACATCTTTCTAATATGATTTTTGAATTGTTTTTTACTCCCTTTAATTCTTCAAATTCTTGCTTCATTTAGTTGGAAAGTCTATTTTCAAAAATAATATTACAATTATCTATCTTTAGGAATATCTATTCCAAAAGAACTATCCCTCTTTATTTTTGGTGATAATCCTTCTCTTGAAGTCTATATTATGCTATATTAATATAGCCATTCCTACTTTTGCATGATTTCCGTGTTTATGGCAAGTCTTTTGTCATCTATTTATGTTTAACCAATCTGAAGGTTTATACGTAAAGTCCACATTTTGAGCATAACTTATAATCAAGTCTTACTTCTTTACAACCCAAGAATCTCTGCCTTCTAATTGAAATATTTACTCCATTAATATTTAATGTATTATTAATATGTTTGGGTTTATGTTTACCACTTCTAAAAATTATTTTCTTAAGGGGATTCCCAGGTAGTGCTAAGTGTAAAGAACTTGTCTGCTAATGCAGGAGATGTAAGAGACAGAAGTTTAATGCCTGGGTTGGGGAGATTCCCTGGAGAAGGTCATGATAACACACTCCAGTATTCTTGCCTGGAGAATCCCATGGACAAAAGAGCATGGCAGACTACAGTCCATAGGGTTGCAAAGAGTCAGACATGACTGAAGCAACTTAGCATACACACACATTCCCTTTGCATTTTGTTTTCATAGTCATGTTTTCTTTTGGATTATTTCTAAGTGATGATTTCAAAAAGATTCTCTTTTAATTCAGCATTTATAATAAAGTTAAATAACTCCAAAGTATACATAGGCCACTAATTTCAAATAGGATTAAGTTTACTCATCCATTCTTCTGGAACGTGTTTCATATGTTTTCAGATTCCTGGGATTATATAGGAATAATTTATCAGGTACTGCATTTCAATGAATTACAAACATTCAGTTTAGTTCAGTTCAGTCACTCAGTCATGTCTGATTCTTTGTGACCCCATGAACTGCAGCACACCAGGCCTCCCTGTCCATCACCAATGCCCGGAGTTTACTCCAACTCATGTTCATTGAGTTGGTGGCGCCATCCAACCATCTCATCCTCTGTCATCCCCTTCTCTTCCTGCCCTCAATCTTTCCCAGCATCAGGGTTTTTTGAAATGAGTCATCTCTTCACAACAGGTGCCCAAAGTATTGGAGTTTCAGCTTCAACATCAGTCCTTCCAATGAACACCCAGGACTGATCTCCTTTAGGATGTACTGGTTGGATCTCTTTGCAGTCCAAGGGACTCTCAAGAGTCTTCTCCAAAACCACAGCAAAACCAAAAGCATTAATTCTTTGATGCTCAGCTTTCTTTATAGTCCAACTGTCACATCCATACATGACCATTGGAAAAACCATAGCCTTGACTAGATGGACCTTTGTTGGCAAAGTAATGCCTCTGCTTTTTCATATGCTGTCTAGGTTGGTCACAACTTTCCTTCCAAGGAGTAAGCATCTTTTAATTTCATGGCTGCAATCACCATCTACAGTAATTTTGGAGCCCACAAAAATAAGGTCAGCCACTGTTTCCACTGTTTCCCCATCTATTGCCATGAAGTGATGAGACCGGATGCCATGATATTAGTTTTCTGAATGTTGAGCTTTAAGCCAACTTTTTCACCCTCTTCTTTCACTTTCATCAAGAGGCTTTTTAGTTTCTCTTTACTTTCTGCCATAAGGGTGCTGTCATCTGCGTATCTGAGGTTATTGATATTTCTCCCAGCAATCTTGATTGCACCTTGTGTTTCATCCAGCCCAGCATTTCTCATAATGTACTCTGCATAAGTTAAATAAGCAGGGTGACAATATACAGCCTTGACATACTCCTTTTCCTATTTGGAACCAGTCTGTTGTTCCATGTCCAGTTCTAACTGTTGCTTCCTGACCTGCACACAGGTTTCTCAAGAGGCAGGTCAGGTGCTCTGGTATTTCCATCTCCTTCAGAATTTTCCAGTTTATTGTGATCCACACAGTCAAAGGCTTTGGCATAGTCAATAAAGCAGAAATAGATGTTTTTCTGGAACTCTCTTGCTTTTTCGATGATACATCAGATGTTCGCAATTTGATCTCTGGTTCCTCTGCCTTTTCTTTTTTTTTTAAGTACCAAGGATCTTTATTCTTAGGTCTGATATTCAATTTGTGGCTGCAGATAATACGTCACTATTTAGAGAACAAAAGTTCCCATTATCTTCATTCAAGTCTTCAGCCACAAAGTTACACCTTATTCTCACACAAGATAAGGGTTGGTAGGGGATTAAGGAGGTACACTGAGGAGAAAAGCAAAAGGGAACACATACTTTTACAAGCATATCGTCCCAGTTACTGTGAAGTTACGTTTCAGGTTAATTTACAAAAGTAGTGACAGAACCATGATTTCAGTGAAAATCAACACATTATACCTTTTAAAAAACCAATTTGGAAATACTAAGTCAGACAAGCATGCAAAATTCAGAGTATAAAAAAATGCAAGGGCTGGCGGCCCAAACAGGTATTTCCCTCAGAAAGAGGGATTTGAAAATGCTGCACAAAACCAAAGGAATTAGAAGCTGAATTAGCAGACCCATTTCCTCAGTTTATATATGAGGCAAGTGGGCAGACATTAACTGGTAAAGCTTACTCAGCCAGATTAAGAATGTATAGACATCTAATTACTGGTGCTATCTGCAACTACATGTATCTAAAATACAAGGAGATAAATATCCAGAACACATCAAAACCACTGATTTAAAGAAAACATTCAAGGGTGGGGGTGAAGTTGTTATTATAGCATAGCAGCACATTACACATATTTAAGAGATTAAATGGAAAGAAATAATCTCTTATTTTAATGCTCAGTTTTGATCAACACAAGTTTCTAGCCAACTTTCTGATGTAGAGCAAAACAAGTATACTCCTGTTTTCTTCTACACTTTTTTGGGCCTATCTTTCAAAACTGAGCACTGGGTATTTTTAATGTAAGTAATGGGATGTGATATGTACATTCTATTTACACATTTTAGGAATAAACAAAATGCATATTTCAGTAATTCATAGTGTATTTATAAAATGAAAAGCTATCAAAATACACTTTTCACTGGGAAAAATAAATAAAACAGACAAATGGATCTACACAAAGTAAAAATTAACTTTGGTAGACTTCACTGTGGAGGACAGTCCATAACAAGCTCATCTGCCCTTACTCGCCCAGAGCCGATCACCTTCCGAGTTAAGATTTTAAAAACATGTTTTAATTGACATCGTTATGTTGATATTTGTTTCTCACTCCACATCATCTGAGTTAAGATTTTAAAAATATGTTTTAATTGATATCATTATGTTGATATTTGTTTCTCATTCCACATCATCTTCAGCCAAGCTCTGAGCACTTACAATTCTCTGAAAGAGAAAATATTTATAGATTTATAAATACTTATAAATTTTTATAAGTATAAGCATTTAACCAGGATTCTACGTTCAGCATAAAATGCTTTTTTGATCTCTGAATCAAATCTCACTGAAGTTTACCCATATTGAAATATCAATATTTAACACTTCATACACCATTTTTACTTAAGAAAATAATCTTTGTCAGCCCCATCTCAAAATTTAAGTCAATAAAATAAAGGAAGCGTAACATTATATTGTGTTATGTTAGTCAATTTTTTAACTAAAAAAAGAATTTAAGATTTCTATTCACTCCCATATGAACTAAAAATAATGATTAGTGTTTTAGTGACCATTCTATCTTCCAAACATTTCCCTTTCTGGCCTGTAAATCGTCAGTCCTTATACAAAGAAGGAATACAGTATTCCGAAACATTAGTATTTTGAAAATATTGCCACGTAACATGGCACAAGTGAACTAAATAAAAGAGGCCATTCTTATTGAAGAATTCAAGGTTCATCCTAAAATCACCCATATTTCAAAAGACATCATCCTCAGGTCAATTTTCCAAAACTACTATGTTATGCTTGTCTTTCAAAAGGTGAATAATGTTAAGAGGATTCTGACAACAGACTGGGAACCACATTCATTATGATCGAAAAATAAAATAAAAAGGATCAAAATCCAGTTTCTTGCCCTTTCAATTCTTTCCTTTAGATCTTTGGGGACTTTTTCTTCTCAGTCTTTTTCCAATCCAGATGAGTAAAAGCTCAGTTTAAAGAATTAACCAGTCATTTTTATTTTCAATTATATCAACCATGAAAATTCATTTAAAAGACATAATATTCCAAAAAGTAGAGTCACTGGGGCTCCTTGAGTATTTGAAATGAATGGGCTGTGTTTTAATCAACTTCTAAGTTATGTTGAACCTATTGTACCAATAAGGATGTATCTGAACAGCTCTAAACTCAAAGCCTAACTCAGCATTAACAGAGACACTGAGGCCTTCAGCTAAGGGAAGTCTGAGGGAGCCACAGGCCTTCAAGGATCTCATTTCTAGGCTATGCCATCTTGGCTCCTTTGTCCTTTGCCACTTAACCGAGAGGTCTCACAAAAGAGGCGGTGGAAAGCTAGGTTTAGAAAGCAGCTGGGAATGATCTCAATTTGGGGATCTGAACATCAAGGTGTGAGATTTAGCACTAAAGGGACTTACTTCCAATCATCCTCCTGGGCACGATCACTGGATTTTATGCCCCTCAGTTTGGATGTTTTTCTATTGGTCAAGCACTGACATCTCTAGCACTATTTTCATTACACGGAGGAGAGTCTCATGTCATCATGTCACTAGGCTCCTTTTTAAATGCAAACCCTCAGACTCTACTCACTTATGTGACGTTCAAGCCTTTACCTGACTGATCGTTGGGAGCTTGGTCAGAAGCATCTGGAACACCGGCGGCGGGAGCGTCTGCTGCAGTACCTGCAGTAACTGCTGCGGCTGCCCACACACAGCAATGGCATTCGTCAGGTGGTCCACACCCTTCTCGTATTCACCTGCAGGAGTCACATGGGAATACTGGGTGACTGGGAGAGCCTTTGCCTCTATCCAAAATTCAACCCTCACGTCTTCACTGCAACTCCAGGTGATAATGACCAAAATCAGCACGCAGGCAAAATCTAGAACATACAGTACACTCGTATAGCTAAGAAGCCACCAACAAGAGGAAGTCAGATTATGTGCATGAGGGATTTCAAGAACACTTTCAAAGGGGGAGAAATTAAGGTACAGAAATGTCTAACTTTATTACTAGATATATACTGGGTATTTCTCAAAGATTACTTAAGTTTCTAACAATGAAACAGCATATTTTTATGAGGAGAGAGAACTGGAAGACTGGGGGACTGAGGTGGACAGGCCCAATTTCACTTTAAACTAACCCCTTATACTATGTGAATATTACCACACGCAAGTAGACACCCAAAGGCCTTTAATCTCTTCTGAACCTAGTCATCATTGGCGGCCATCCTCTCTGCAGACCCAGCAGCAAGCAGTGCCTAAGAATCCTGTATATCCAGGATACACTGATACAATGACACAACCTCAATAGTGGTCAACCTGTCACCCTGAGCTTCCTTCACATGGAATGTTGCTACAACTTTCATAAAACTTCTGTTGACTGGATGGCCAGGTCTCAAGTGGTACCTTGAGAAACAGCATAGAAAGCAGCATTTAATTTACTTAGGACATAGCAGAGCACGATCAAACCAAGTGTTACAAGATGAAAGCTGCCATCCGCTCCTCTGCTGGGCAGAATGCTCTCCCTCTCCTCAATGCCTAGGCTCTCTCTCAGGAAATTCAAAGTGCAGCCTGGAGGAGACCTGAAAATGTTTCCCTGGTTTATCTCATGTTCTCCTACACTTGTTATACACAGTTTCACTGATTCTCTTATCCATTGAGTGTTGATCTTTCTAGGCTTGCTAAGTAAGTTAATGTAGGGACTGGACCATTTCTAACTCTTCAGGTGAAAATAAAAAATTCTAATTATGTCAAAAAATCATTCCTTAGGATTCTGGGACAGCAAATATATCCAAGACTAGGAGGGTGGCGCCTCCAGAGAAGGCATGAAAGTTCTCCACCCCTAACCCTGTGCACCTCCTGCAGCTGGTTACTCCTGAGTAGTATTATTTATAATAAACCAGTGAACACAAAAGTTTTCCAACCCTGAGTACAAATGGGACCAAGTAAGGGACTGGTAAATGAAGAGGAACTGCCTGATACATAACATTTTTATTTAAACTACTCAAATTGAAGAAAGCTTTAATTCTACAAAGAAGCATTAAAAACGGAAAATATAAGGCACAGGTCTTCCACATAGGACTGGACCTCCATCAGGGACACAATAGCTCCACTAACTTGGAAATTAAGATGCCCCAATGGCCACCGAATCCTCAGGCCACTGAATTTATAGGCAATAGAGGAGCTCACAGTATTGTCTGGGAATATTAATTCTGATTATTAAATGGAAATAAATGGAGCTGCTACCAGAGTGGTAGAACCCAGGGGATCCTCAGTTGAGACACCTCCTAAAACTTCTAAACACACTGGAAACCGTTTATGAACAATCACAGCAATTTAGTTCAGAAATGAAACAATTTCCTCTCCCCACTGCAGCCTTGATCCTCCTCACCTATCCCGAGATACCGCTCAGTTACTATGGATGAAGACACCTGCACAAGGGAGGCCGTGTCAAGCAATGAGGCTCACTGTCTAAACTGCTTATGCTTTCTCATGGCTTACCTTTCCTTAATTCTAACCTCAGGCTGGTTCTGTGGACTCCACCAGAATAAAGGCAGCTTGGCAGCTGAGTTACATAACTCTTGGGGGTGTGCTAGGCTGAAATGTGGAATATAAGCTTGAAATAAAGAACAAAAAACACTTCCCTGTCCTTTCCTGACCCCCTCACTCCCCTCACCATGAGTTAACTGCTCTTGTCATTACAGATCTAACAGCTCAAGTCAGAGAGAAATGGCCACACTAAGTGGCCGTTAGATAATTAAGTAATTGGGAGAGCATTACAGTAGCTTAAATTTTTTTTACATTATGTTTATTTTGGAGGCTAGAAGGAAAATTTGATAAACTGACATCTTTATGAGTATGAAAAAATACTAGTATCTTTGCATAAATTGAAATATTACAATCTCTATCCTTAGACACAGATATCATTATACACGCTTTATTTTTCTTTCGATATTAAAATAATGAAATTATAGTCTCTCAAATGATCTTTATGAGGACTTACGTGCTTTACTTTGCCCAGTGATTAAAAATCTACAAATGACCTGCACCATGTAGTTCAATAACGTCAAAATCTATTATAATACAAGGGTGAGAATAAGAAAAACAAGCTAACACTTGATACCATTTCTACTAATGGCAGCAACTGTTTCAAAGCTACTTTTGTGATAAAAGCTATTATGACAATAAAAATATACATTTAAGACACTCAATTATTGAACGAATTATGGTTCTCAAATTTGAAAAATGATCATTTGAATTTCATAATTTTTTAGAAAGAATTCTTAATTCTATTGATGGAACACATAAAGCACAAAGCCTAAATTCTGGATCAGATTTAGATTGCTGTTTCTGAAAATCATATGCCATTAACTGTGTAACCTTGAACTGGCAAACTAACCTTCTCTGGGATGTATTATATTAGTCATTCCTTCCTATAGGTACTGGAAAAGATCTGAAGATCAGATGAAGGAGTTGAGGAAATTATATTCCCAGGTATTTCTCTCAAGTTACTGTTTACATATTACAATTGACTATATTCTTTTAAACTACTTTAAAAGCAACCTCATTTGTAAAGATTACTTATTTTCCTTGCATTATTAAAAGCCTCATTATTATTAAATGCCTAAAAACTTTTCTTGAAATATTTAGAATATCCCTTTAAAAAAATTTTTGTATTGAAGTATAGCTGACTAACAATGTTGTGATGGTTCCAAATGAACAGCGAAGGGACTCAGCCACACAAACATGTATTCATCCCCCCCAAACTCCCCTCCCATTCAAGCAGCCACATAACATGAGCAGAGTTCCATGTGCTATACAGTAGGTTCTTGTCGGTTATCCATTTTTAACATAGCAGTGTGTACATGTCCAACCCAAACTCCCTAACTATCCCCCATCCCAGAAATTTTAAGAATATTTTTTAAAATTAGCTACACTGCACCAAAAAAAAGCCCCTTATTACCATAAATTTAGTGTGAAGATTTTTATCTATTTTCCTAGTCTTTCAATGACTATTAATTACCTTGAGCTAGTAATTCTTCACCAAGCTGTATTTCTTCTAGAAAGAATTTCTGAACGGCTTCAGCATCTTTAAGGTCAGGTAACTGTTTGGAAATAGAATATTTAATAACTGGTTTACTCTAGGGATATACACAACACAAAAAAATTATGCCATTAAAAAGCCAGCTCATTATGAAAGCTGACAAAAAGAAATTTACTCTTCAACAACACTCAAGGATAGGAGTTTAATATCTACTTTCAAATAAATGCAAGAAAAAGTCCTTTTTGATAAAACTGGTGTTTGAACAGTTATTAGAAAACTGTGAATCAAACCTCAAGTAAAAAGAGAGTACAGATATATCTTTACCACAAAATATGAACTTTAAAACTTATATTATTTTTTGATGGCTATTATCATAGATTTTTATATAACTATATTGAGGAATATATAACTGTATAATCATGATCCATTTGTTAGGCATTTGAGCTGCTTCTGATTTTTGCTATTTCAAACAAGCAGCTTGATTTAAATAACTTTGCCTATGTTTTTGTTTTGTGGTTTGTTATATATTACCAAATTGAATGATTACAATATATAAAGTCACAAGCTACATGCATTATCTTTGTAAAAAATGTAAACCAAGTATTTAAAAAGTCCCTTTTTATTTAAAAACCTAGACTACTAATGGAAATTTCTGGTTCTTGAGTATTATCATATACACTCTTATTACAGGTGTGTACAGTTATCAGACACCATGCTATGCTATGTACACAGTACAGTGTAAATAGAACTATTATATGGACCAGGAAACCAAAAAATTCACAAAGTCTCTTTACAGCAGTGGTCTGGAACCAAACCAGAAATATCTTTGAATTATACCTGTAACACATCCATTTTCTATATCCTTAGAAAGAAAAGCCTACTGAAAACATAATGAATACATTCCATAGTTTGGACATAACAGGGAAACAAAGTGACTGCCTCCCAGTTTCACCTTGCTATTACCATATCAAGTCAGTTAGCTGTGTTAATTACTCAAATCTAACATTATGGACATTTGTTACATATGTACATTTTTTTTTTAAAAAAGAAAGATATTGTGTTTTAAAACATAAAATCAGTGTCAGATACTAATTAGCTTCCTCAAAATATATATTTGAAGCAGACTATTAAAAAAACAGATTATTACCTTGGAAAGCCCAGCTCTCTCCTTGGCAAGCTTTTGTTTCTTTCTTCCTGCAAAAAAGGGAATATTTTAATTTTATTATTATTAAAATGGGAATCAAAAGAAGTCTAATTGCTGTGGTACTCATTCTATTTGCAAAACAGGACCAACTCAGGCTTTTCTTCTTGTGATTTGTCAGGGTCATAAAAATAGTTCAGGTCAGCTACCGGCAATGGGACACTCCTGGACAGAAGCTTTGTCCTTCCCTCTGGGGTACTGGGATCGGCAGTTCGAAAAATAGAGATAATTAAGAGACTCAGCTGTTGGAACCATCCTAAGTAGAGAAAGTCTCTCTCCACCACCTCCAAAGGACAGGAAACATGACCAAGAGTCGAGCCTCTGTTGTTATGATGGAGTTTATTACTGAAATATAACTGACCCTGCCTCTACTGAATTCTGAAAACTATCTGGGATTATTAAATAAGAAAAGAATTAAAAAAAAAAACAGCATTTGAAAAAGCTTTGTTGAGAAAAAGAGCTCAGTATTTATGCATTTGGCAAAGGTAAGGGCGAAGAAAGGCAGCACTCAAATAATTACTGCCAGTTAAAGGGAAAAAACCTTCGCCCTACAGTCAGTAGGTTGTTTTTGTTTTTGACATGAAATAGTAATACTACAAACTCAGGAGTAAGTGACATTGTTTAAATCAATTAGTCAATCTTTAAAATCAAATCAGTAGTAAGACACTAACAATACTTTAAGCTGCTGTTTAATTGCCTGGGCTTCCCTGGTAGCTCAGCAGGTAAAGAATCCGCCTGCAATGCAGGAGACCCTGGTTCCATTCCTGGGTCAGGAAGATCCGCTGGAGAAGGGACAGGCTGCCCACTCCAGTATTCATGCACTTCCCTGGTAGCCCAGCTGGTAAAGAATTCGCCTGCAGTGCAGGAGACCTGGGTCCAATCCCTGGGTTGGGAAGAACACCTGGAGAAGGGAACGGCTACCCACTCCAGTATTCTGGCCTGGAGAAGTCCATTGGGTAGCAAAGAGTTGGACACAACTGAGTGACTTTCACTTTAATTGTATACTCCATGACAAAGGCTGCTGGCACAAGGAAGCTTGGGGTTCCTTTACATCCCAGATCGTCCACTGGCTAGCAGTGTGACCTTGGACAACTTACAGTTAACTTACTATGCCTCTCTTTCTCCTCATGTAAACCTGGTTTAAGAACAACACCTGCTTCAGAGTTGATATGAGGATTAAATGAGTTACTGTATTTTCAGGGCCTGGTTGGCACTATTGAGATGTAAGCACTCAGGACTGAGCTCAATACCAACCAACTCCTCAGCTAAGGAGTTGCACTATGCTAAGTAGTTAGGTTCGTTTCATTAACCAGTAAAAACTAGCAAAGGCACCATGTGGCTAAGAAAGGTAAAGCTCTAATACTTATTACCGGGATCTTCAGCAAATAAATATCAACTCTCAAAAGATCAGACATACTTTATTACTGTGAGAAACAAAAGTCATAAAACAAGCAAATGTCCTCTTAAAACCTTAAAGCATTCTATAAATCCAATTTTCAATGCATGAGTAGAGAGGCGGTGACCTAAGTGCACACAAATGGTTCACTTACTCTGGTCAGGGAACCTTTTCTAACTTGTATTTACAAACTAGGTTTACCACCAGCATCTCTAGCAACTCTAGCCCCCAGATTACATAAAGTGCTACAACTCTAAGGCCTTAGCACTTTCAAAAATACATATATAGGTTAAAGCTGATCTTATGATTATTTTGTTCATCATTAGGCAACTGTGGAGAAACAGAATATATAACCTCAATTAAGGTTCAGCTCTCTTTTGGCAGAATGACACCAGACTATATTAACTAGTTACTATAAGACCATGATACAAACGTGCTAGGAAGAGTACTAAGATTGGACATGGAACACTTGATGTTAAAGATAAGCACTTGTTTTAGATTCAAGAGAGACACTATCCTACATGTTACTAATGAGCTTATTTAGCCTCTCAGCAGGACAGGAGGACACGTACTAGTATTATCACCATGTTATCACAGAGATAATTTACCAAGATCACAACTAATGGGTGGTGGAGTGGCAACCCAAACAGGCAGCAGGATTTCAGCACACATGTGCTCAAACATTACACTGCAGAGAAGTGAAGATATGCCCATCAATATAAAAGGCATCTCAGAAAGAAACATGGCAAGTTTGTGGAATAAACAGAGATATACAATTTGCTACGTCAGAATTTACAGAAAATGACAAAAGTGATAGTAGTAGAAAAAAGCCTGACTTCCAAACACACACACACATATATATGTGGTTTTTTAATGGAGTGGAGAAGAACGTATTACTGTTGCTGAATGCTTGGTAATTACCAAATTTTAAGCCTGCTTAGCTGCTTTAAATTTACAGCAATAAGATTATTCTCACTTTACTTTCCTAAGACAACTAACTTGTTACATCAACTTATTTATCAAATAGTATCTCTGACAAACGGGCAGATAACAGACTGAAAAATCAAGGAGCTACTACATATTCAATCAGCAGACTGACACAATATTTGCGATAAATCAGTCCAAAGTGTCTCTGCGTAAACCTAACAAGTTAAAACAGACCAAAAAAATACACATAAAATACAAAAAGTCCCGAATCTAAAGCAATCATTTAAAGGAGATTACTTCATATATTTTAAAATGAATCATTTCATACAGTGCTGTAAAATGAAAAACATCTGTAGTTGGTACTTTGTAGGTTTTCATTTATTAGTGATTATTTAGATAAAAATTATGCTGTAGGAGTTTCTGGTAATCTCACACTAATGGAAGGTAAGGAAAAAAAAATGAATAAATTAGTCTTGATTTAACTTCAAACCTATTTTAAACAGCCTAAATCTCTTTTCCTAAAAACGAAACCAAAAAACCTTCAGAAACACTGATTTGAAAAACTCTGTCCTCTTATTACAGATGTCAGTCAGTTCAAGGCTCAGTCCGACTCTTTGAGACCCCATGAACTGCAGCACACCAGGCTTCCCTGTACGTCACCAACTCCCAGAGCTTGCTCAAACTCACGTCCATCTAGTCGGTGATGCCATCTAACCATCTTATCCTCTGTCCTCCCCTTCTCCTTTCTTCAATATTTTCCAGCATCAGGGTCTTTTCCCATGAGTCAGTTCTTCACATCAGGTGGCCAAGTATTGGAGCTGGAGCATTGATGCTGAAGCATCAGTACTTCCAATGAAGGTAGGGTGTGTAAGCCCCACCACAAAGCCACTGAGCAGACAACACACAAACTGGATAACAATTATACCAAAGAAGCTCTTGCACTGTTGGGAAAGTTCTAGGGTCTGCAAAAGATTTCCCAATGTGGGGATCCTGCAAAGGAACTGAGAAGCCCCAGGGAATCTGATTGGAGGCCACTGGGATTTGATTACAGAACTTCCACAGGACTGGGGAAACAGACTCTGGGAAGGCACAAACAAAACCTTGTGCTCACCAGGACCCAGAAGAAAGGAGCAGAAACCCCACAAAAGACTGAGTCAGACTTGCCCATTGAGTGTCCAGGAGTCTTCTGCGTAGGCGTGGCCTGCTGTGGGGTCGGGGCACTGAATACAACAGTGCTGGCATAAGTCCTTTTGAAGGAGGCCATCATTACCCCTATCATAGGTCAAACTACCTGGAGGGAATACAGTCCCACCCATCAACAGAAAATTGGGTTAAAGATTCACTGAACAAGACCCAGATTCCCCCCAGTTAGTCTCTCTCAACAGGAAGCTTCCACAAGCCTTTTATCCTTATCTAGAGGGCAGACAGAATGGAAACCACAATTACAGAAAACTAACCAAACTGATCTCGCAACAAACTGTGGATCACAGCCTTGTCCAACTCAATGAAACTATGAGCCATAGGGCCACAGTGAAGAGTTTTAACAAAATGTGGTCCACTGGAGAAGGGAATGGCAAACCACTTCAGTATTCTTGCCTTGAGAACCCCATGAACAGCATTACAGATATAAATATTCTATTAGAAATTAAGCTAAGAAAATGAAAAATTAAATTAACTAAACTGAAATCAATTACATCCCACAAATACAAAATACCCTCAAGTTCTCTTTACTTGCTAAAGAAAATACAAAGTAAGAATTATATTCATAAACAATCTTTAGCATTCATCAATTACCATGTGTCAGGTACTATATTAAATTCTACATTATAATTTTTTTTTTAAAAGAAGGAAACTAAAGCTTGAAATTTGTTGCCCAAGATTATCCAGCTACTAATTCAAGCCTTAGGCTACTACTGAAACTAGAAATTCATGGATGATTAAAAAAAAAAACCATGAAAATAACAGATTTCTCAGTTTGTTCAAAATGACACCTTTTATTACTTCTTCAACCAAAAATTAGTTTTCTCAAGGTTTTCAATAACAGGATTCCAACGATTCCCAAGGAAGGGTTAATCCTTTCTTTACAGAGATCTACTACCACACCACCACTGCCCAACTATTTCTTGGAAGCTACAGGAAAATGATAAAAATTCCAATAATTACATTTACAGCAGGAGTTTATAGGATCGTCTCCATGTCAAGAATGGTGGCGAGCACATCAAACATTTTAATCTTCACAAAACCAACAAGAGGCAATACTTGATTTTGCAAGCTAAGAAAATTAAGACTCAGAAAACCCAAGATCATACAGTTAATCTGTGACGAACCTAGATCAGGAAACTCAGTGTCTGAATCCAAAGCAGCATTATTCCCATTAGTCTACCTAACCATAAATAAAAAAAATCACCTCTATATCCTTTCTTCCTGAGACACAAGAGAGCCAGAATCAGATATCATATTGCAGATGGTGTAAGAGCGGCAATTTCCAGTAAGGTAGTCCTAGCCACGTGTGACCCAACTACACGTGAAATGCTAGTCATTTCTTTATATTTTTCTGGGCTTTAGTAATTGACCTATACATTCTAGTTTCAGGAACTGTTCTGACTGAGCAACCCAGGTAGATTACAAAATTATTTCTTAATGCAACAAATTTTCTTTTCCGTTGCTGCGAACGAGCATACCTCCGAAATTCAAAGATCACGAAAGGTTTCGGCGACACGATTTCCTTCTTGAAAATCTCTTTTAAAAGATGTCGCAGGTATGAAATAAGACTGAGCCACAGGAAACGTGCAGCCTTTTGGACGCCCCTGCGATTTCTATAGCATTCACTCATATCTTGGAAGCCTTTACAGTGGAGCTACCAAGAGGGTTTAAGAATGCATGCAACCTCATCGTTTGAGAATGATACTGAGTTGGATTTGTAGGTTCAGTCTAAGCACAAATTCGTAAAATACCAAAAAAAAAAAAAAAAAAGCAGACGCCGGCGGCGATGGCGCTGTTCCGGCCCACCATCGTCTCTCCACCGAAGAGCCGGGTCGGCTGCGGCGGGGCCCGCAAATAAGCCGTTGACCGCGAAGCCTCGGATCCGAGTGCGCGGCTCAGCCCCGACCCCCGCCGCGAGGGACGCGGAAAGGCGGAACATGCGTCACTTCCGGCCCCTGCCGCCGAGGCCCCCGGGGATGTCCGCAGCAGTGCCTGAGCGGAGGCCCCCGCGCCGCCTCTGCGCCTGCACAGGTGCTTCAACTCCCCTGTTCGCGTCGGAGTCGAGATTTTGCGCGAGGTCGCGCACGTCCTTAAGAGCCTTTGAGCTTGACGTAATGAGGGCGGCACGTGGCCGTCGTTTGCACACTCCAAATTGTGTGTAGCTGACTTCCTTGCTTGTGTCAAAGATGGAAGCAAATGCTTCATCTTTTTATGTTATTCAGGCACCCTGTAACTCTTGTTTGAATTCAGTTTCATTTGGTTTTCAAGCTCAGTCACAATCTGTTTTGCAGCAAGGACCATAATCTAGTGATTCGATTTCAAAAGATTGTAATGGTGTAGTCTCAGGAGTGGAAGAAAATTAAATGGAGCGATCCCTGGAAAAGGATAACGGGTAAGAGACACAATGGGAAAAAAAAAGTAAACGTTGAGTTGTCAAGTTGTCATACCCACTGAAGACATTATGTGTGTAGTTTAAATTTGAAAAGACATAGACGGGATCCTCTGAAACCTTTGGGGTGATAGGAATGTTTTTTATAGACTGTAGTGTTCTGACACTTTATGCTAAGGAGATGGTTCATGATGAGGCTACCCTGAAAGACCAGGATTGTGATTAGAGGGTTGGGACTTTGATCTGGGTAGTATCAGCCCTATTTCTGGGGGAAAGAGGGGAAGGAGGTTGGAGGACAACTTCATGGAGCTCAGCTTCATGACCTACATGCTGCTGCTGCTGCTACGTCGCTTCAGTCGTGTCCGACTCTGTGCGACCCCAGAGACGGCAGCCCAGCAGGCTCGTCCGTCCCTGGGACTCTCCAGGCAAGAATACTGGATTGGGTTGCCATTTCCTTCTCCAATGCATGCAAGTGAAAAGTGAAAGTGAAGTCGCTCAGTCGTGTCCACTCTTCGCGACCCCATGGACTGCAGCCTACGAGGATCCTCCATCTATGGGATTTTCCAGGCAAGAGTATTGGAGTGGACTGCCATTTCCTTCTCCATCATGACCTACATTCAGTTGCTCAATCATGTCCAACTCTTTGCAACCCCATGACCTACATAGGGAAGCCCAAATGAAGGCTCTGGACACGGAAGCATGTGCACTTCCAAAGCTGGCAGTACTCTGTCTACCTAGGAATCAATGAGCCACGTGCCCGGAGGGTGAGGTGTTCTGCCTTCTGGGAGGTGTTCAGGGAGGGAACAGAAGCTTTGAATTTGGGACGCTCCCATACCTTTCCCCTGTGCATACCACTCCTCTACCCTTTGGCCTGTTTTGGTTTTTCTCTTTTTTGGCTGCACAGCAAGGCTTGTGAAATCTTAGTTCCCTGACCAAAGGTTGAACCCAGGACTTAAGCAGTGGAGGTGCTGAGTCCTAACCACTGGACTACCAGGGAATTCCCTGGCTGCATTTTATGTATATCCTTTTGCTGTAATAAAACTGTAATCATAAGTATAACATGTTCTTGAGTTCTGTGATTCCTTATGGTGAACCTGAGAGGTAGCAGGAACCTCCAAATTACTGGCTGGCTGGTCAGAAGAGTGGCCTGGAGACACGTCTCCCTGTATCTGTGACCGGTGTATTCTCATCCAGCCATCTTGTAGGGGACTGTCCCCATAGCACGAAGTCTGGCTCACCTCTAGCGTGGATGGTGTCAAGTTACTGCAGGGCACTTATGGAGACATTTAGCTGACATTCCTAACCTAGTCCAAGAGCTTGGGAAAGCCCTTTTGCTTGAGTGATAATGAACCTGTGCATGCTAAGTCACTTCGGTCGTGTCCGACTCTCTGTGACCATGGGAACCCTCCAGGCTCCTCTGTCTATGGGATTCTCCAGGCAAAGAAAGAGTACTGGACTGAGTTGCCATGCCCTCCCTCCAGGGGATCTTCCCAACCCAGGGATCGAACCTGAGTCTCTTGTGCCTCCTGCATTGGCAGGGAGTTTCTTTACCACTTGTGCCACCTGGGAACCTGAGATCCTATAAGACTGGAAATTTGATCAAAGGTACATGTACACTGCCTGGACTGCGGTGAGATGTGAAGGTGCATATGTATCACAGCAAAGCAAATGACTGCTATCAGGGGATTACACACAGCAGAAAAAAAGCTTTTCCTTATATCATGCACACACACAGATTCTTCCTAGCCTTAACAGTGCACCTCTAGAGGTGTGTCCTGAGCCACAGGTGGAACAGAAAGACTTGTAAGGCCACACAGATGACCTGAGGTCTAGAACTTGACCTGGGGCAATCTGAGATTTGTCCATTACCTTAGGACACTAAGGAAGGAACATGCTGTTCTGTATCCCTGTGAGTACATCACAGAATGCCATGTAAGTGGAAGGTCATTGCTAGGAGATAAGATAAACCAGGCAACCTGTTGATACAAAGAACAGTCAGTGCAACTCCTGTGCCTCTGAATCTCTCAACCACTACAGTGCCGGAAGCCAGCACATGAGATCCCACCCATGACAAGGTCATGAGGAGGAGGCCTGACAAGCAAGGCAGATCAGGACTTCAGGAATTTCGAAAAGCTGCCCCGGCGCTCACCTTAAAGATGATCTCTGTCTTTCTGATGCTTGCTATATTAGACCACTCCCTAATTTCTGTGACACGGGTAGAAGGCCTTCCCCGATCTCTCTCCAAACAGAATCAACTTAGAACTTTAATTAATGTGTCCGCCGGACGGCGGTATCCTATTAAGATTATCCAGGATGAAAGGAGTGTTTCAATTTAGACCCCTTTGCTGGCATTCTAGCCTGCTTGGCAAATGCCTATTAATGTAACACAAAAATATTATTTTAAAAGTGGTTAGAATTGTTCATTTTAACCAGGAATGCTAAACAGGGGCTGCCTCACCGGAGCTGCAGAGTCTTTGTGTTGTAAACCTTTTAGATAAATTCAACTAATAACTTCTGCAGAAGGACTAACCTTTGTGTCCATTAAAGAATAGATTATAGGAAAACAGTTTTGCATTCACCTAGGTCATCATAAGATGTCAATAGGCTCCGAGGCCAGAAGATAATGTATAAGACACTCACAAAGAAGTTACTGGAAACACCCTGGTTTCCTGAGGGACAAGATGATGTAATGTTAAACTTTCTTCCCCTAAAAATGTACTTAGAATATAAAAGCTACAGTAAAAAATAAAGATTTGCCAGACTCTGCCAGACCCTGCAAACACCCCCGTCTGGTCATCCTCTCTCTCTCTCTCTCTTTCTCTCTCCCTCCCTCACAGACGTGGCCCTATCAAGGCTGGTCTCACGTCTCTCTCGCCGACACCATTCATCCTGAGGGCACCCCTGGATCCTGCTGAGGCTGGAGCCCGGCACTACAGTTTTTCATACTTTTTTCCTTCACTTGTAAAACATCTGTAAGCATAGAATCCTCAAACAAAAACAGACTGTAAATCCCTGAGGCATGTTGCTTGTAAGTGGTATCCTTGGTGGGTTGTGGGTTGACCTTAGTGGGTCATCACCAGTGTTGTGAACAGAATGAAAAGTATCAGAGGGCAACATGGGTGGCAAGGACTGGTACTGTCACGTGAAACTTGTGTGTCAGATAAACATACCTGTGTCTGTGCTGATCACAGTGAAAAAGTAAAGACTGTCATAGATCATAGTCAAAAAAGTGGGAAACCACTGATCCAATCCAAGTCCCTTATTTTCTCAGTCAAGATATTTAGATAAAGAGGTTGAGGTTTGTCCAAGGTCACGCATATACATGCGTCAAGGATCAGATGTCCCTACACCCTAGTTCAGGGCTCCTTACATGAAAACCTAAAGACCAACACTCTATGTTAAGGACACTAAAAATTACATAAATTTATATACACTAAAAAGCATATACAATAATATACAATAAAACATATACTTTAAAGAAAACAGTGCAATTAAAGAGGTAAGTGTATGTAGTCTACAGATAAGACATCTTTATAGAAATTTAACTGAAAATATATGCAGAAATGTTCAAGAGCTATCAAAGGATAAATATTAACTGAACCATACTTATAAAAACAAACAAACTTCCCTAATGGTCCAGTGGCTAAGACTGCACTCCCAATGCAGGGGACCCAGGTTCAATCCCTAGTCAGGAAACTAGATCCCACAAGCCACAACTACGGCCTGGCACAATCAAATAAATAAATATTGAAAAACAAGGTTCAAAGTGCCATAGAAGATCCTAAGCATAAAATATCCAATCTTTGGATATCTGAAAATGAAGCCTTCTGCTTTCCACAGAGCTACATTTTAAAGACCTATTTAGGTTTTCCTTGCACAATGCCTGAAAGACAAAATTTTCAAAATAATGAGTAATAACTCACTGTCCTCCCATTCCCTTACCCACTTGTAAGTAATCAGTTGCATGTATCACAGATGAGCCTGCCTCAGATCAGCCCCCCGGTTCACTCCCACTCCTCCCTCCAGGACACAGCTTCAGCTTGGTAAGTCTTGTGAGCAGGGGTACCAGCTATATGTCATAAGGGTAAATCTCAACGGAATGCAATGCTATTCTCTCGCCCGGTTGAACTTTACACTTTGTGACTTCAGTACCATACTTTTCCAGGAAATTGTTTCTATGATTTTTTTAAACTTATTTTTTGGACACACTGTGTGGCATGTAGGATCTTGGTTCCCTGACCAGGGGTCAAAACCTGCGCCCCCAACATTGGAAGGTGGTCTTAACCCCTGGACCACTGGGTTGTTTTTTTGTTGTTGTTTTTTTAGTCACTAAAGTCAAGTCTGACTCTTTCCGACCCCGAATGCAGCACACCAGGCTCCTCTGTCCTCCACTATCTCCCAGAGTTTGCTCAGATTCATGTCCACTGAGTCAGTGATGCTGTCTAACCATCTCATCCTCTGCCACCCCCTTCTCCTCTTGCTTTCTATCTTTCCTAGTATTTGAGTCTTTTCCAGTAAGTCAGCTCTTCACATCAGATGGCTTCCAGTTC